CAGTAGCCGTATTGTACCGCAGGGGCGTTAGAGTCTCTCCCTTGTTTTTAAAATGGCCTTCAGGCTCGTACTCATCCCTGTGAAGCAGCGGTTCTACCAGCCCTCCAGTGAAGGGACTAGGGACAGACCCAGGCCCAGTCTGTGCGGCTGTGAAGCCACTTGCCTGCTCAGGCCTGCTGAACAGAGAGCCGAGGACCACTAGAGGTCACTGTTCTGTAATGGGCTCCTAATGAACCAGAACTGTCAGCAAGACCAATGAATTGCACTGCAGCTCTGCCTAATTATGAATTCCTGCTTAATCAGTCAATGACAGCAGAGCCGTCGCAGCATTTTTTATATTCTTTGCATACTCATTTATGCTAATGTGCTATTATATTTCTGTAGATGTGGGTCCTCCATCATTAGAGCAGTTCGTTATTGAAAGCTCCTTTACAAAATCATAATTACTGATTATGGGTGATTAAACTTTTTTTCTTTCCCCCCTTAGCCTTCTGATTTGGTCAGGAAGGTTAGTTTGTTTTTATTATTTTGCTTCTTGTGTTTGTAATCAAATGTTGATTCTTAACACCTTATTTAATTAATTGCATCCATTTAACATTTGGACAGAGTCCAGAGTTCACTCTTAATACTTATTGTCGTGTTTTATGTTGTGTACTGTTACCTAGATGTGTGCAAAAAGTGTGTGTTGAAAGAGCTAGAGACTTGTTTCTAGTCCTTGTCAAACAAACTAAGCTCACAGTTTTTCTGCTTTCGGCAGTGAACCATTTCGACAAAATTCATACAAGAGTACTGCAGTTTATCTTTAAAGGGAATTAATCTCCTACGTGTTTTTAGAGAAATTTATAGACCAAAGCAAAGCCGTCATTTATGTAAGGCATAAAATGTTCCTTTCGATTAACAAAAAATATTTGTTTCGGGCAGCATGGTGGAAGGCACAGAACAGTCTGGATGGTGTTTTTATTATCCGCGTGCCCTGTGGAAGGACTGCTGTGCAATATTGGTAAACATATTGCCAGGCAGTGTGCGCGCTGCCATCCGCCTCACAGCTCCGCACTGCACTCTCAGCAGAAGCTGAGCCATTGTGATATTTATCTGAATTCAAACGAGGCTAATTAAAAGAGCTGCTGACAGTTGTTGTGATCCGACTTTGACTGGTGCTTGATGGTCATTATGGGTAAATAATGAACCGGGGCCACAAATACAGCAGCTGCCAGCCCAGCACCGTGGAGCAGCTACTGCAACCAATTTAAAGATCTATCGACCGCCTCTGCGCTCCCTGCAGATCTCTGGCTGAAAACTAATGTTTCTCCTATGGCTGGTTATTGTGGTTTCAGCTGTTTTAAATGCAGCCTTTAATTCCTGCCTTTAATATTTAACACAGCACATTATTAGCCCTTCAGAATTAACAACTTCTTCATTACAAAGAAGTTTTATGCTCCTTGCAACTGCAGTTATTGGCAGGATTTTCATTGCAGAAATTAGTATCTAGTTGTAGGATTCAGTATTTGTATCCAGCGCAGCGAGTCAGAGTGATGAGTTAATTGTCCATAGAAAGTTAGAAGTTTCGCTTTTTAATTTAATCTAAGAAGGAGAGGTGCAATATTGAAATATGTTTGCCAGTGCATGAAAATCACTAATCATTTCTTTTTAATATGAAACAAAATTAACAAAATGCTCTTGGTGTATATGAATATAGTTATTATTGTCTTTATTTAAAATTAAACTCTGGCATCCGTAGGAAACTGTGGTTTTAATTTCAGGTTTCAGGTGGCATTTGAAGTGAACTATATGTAATGTATTAGTGGTATACAACTTGGATTTGTTTTTTTTAATATTTTGCAAAAAATGTTCTGAAAATATCAAACGTGATTTGACTTAAAACAGGCACTCAGCAGGGTTTTGTGAATTGGCTTGTAGGATTTTAATGCTGAGAAGAATTCTTTTGGGACCAATTGATATTATGTTTAAGCAGGATTCAAGCTTTAGAAGATAAGCTGTACAAAATGAGAAGAGAATAGCCTTAAGAAGAAGAGAAGACAGGCTTGTTAGCAAAGAACAAAAATCCTGCTTGCTTTTTACACATCAGGAATTGTCCAGTTCATTAATATTTGTAGCTCCTGAATGTTGGCTCATGAATTTTGGACACTGAAGTATAATGAAAGAGAATTTTTCAGGGAGCTAATTCAATGATGCATTAAAGGCTGGCCATATCAAATGAGATTAAAAAAACAGGTTCCGCCCCAGTTTATTTTAAACCAGCCGCAGCCTAACAAGGCATGTTCCCAGCCATATATCTGTGTCACCAGGACCCCAGAGACCATCTGACACCGGCCGCGGAGTGGCAACAGTGCTCGCTTACAAATAAAACATGGCACGCTCCTAAACTGATTGTGCACGGCAATCTCTTCCCGAAAAGACACCTAATTGAACATGATAAAGTGTAAAGTTAATTAACACCCTTAAGTTTGTTGATTACTTTCTCAGGATTATATTGTTCGTTTTGGTAGCAGCTTTCAGTCCCAGCTGTCGCCTTTTTAGCGAGTGTCACCGGTAAACAATAGAGACACCATCACCAGTTGTAAATGGTGCCTGTGACAGCCGCCCCTTGTGAGGCTGCATCTGTAGAAAATGATTAGAACAATTGCATTTTAAACACGCTCTCCCTGCACCCCGCTCCCACCGGCCCTCTTCTCTCTCTCCTTCTCCATGCCAGAGTGGTTAAAACATTTAACGTCTTCTAAAGCAAATTAACTGATTTACCGAGTATCACAGAGGGACACGTTTCTTTTTGTTGTATGAAAGGGGGGAAAAATGATTTTTTGTGTATACTCCTCACCAGCCTTTGATCATTTTTTCTCCAGGATGCGACTGCCGCAGAATTAATCCGTGCTGTAATAAGGAGCTGCTGATTTACATTGGAAAGAAAAATAAATTATTTGAGGGGATGTATTGTGTTGTTTTTTTGTGGCACAAATTCAGATTTTATTCCACTAGATACCCTGTTATGTTGTAAGTGATACTGTGAAAAGCAAGTTCACGTAAGTAGCAAGGGAAGCCTTCTCTGATGTAGATATTTTCATCACTTCATTGACCTTCATTGTATTGAAACTGAATGTGTGTCTGACAGAATTCACTGCAGACTCTTCTGACCGTTGTTTGAAGAAACAGCGCCATTGATGATAAAAATGCAGAAGATCTGTTCCTTGCAACAACATTAACAGATGGAATATGTTGCAGTCAGTGAAGCAAAAAGCATCAACGTGTCCAAGAAAAAGCCCGCTGTACCCACAGTTTTGGAGGCTGTGTGGTATGGGAGACAAGTTCAGCATGTTCAGTCAAGATTATTATTTCAGGTCACCAGTAAATATCAAGACGAATAGCAGCTCTGCACTAAAGCAGATACCAGGAAACAATCGGTTGTTCCAGAAGAGGCCTCATAGTGCCACATTTTCTTTTCCCCTTCAGTCCTAAGTAGACAGTCTGTGTGTAAAGACACAATGTCTAATAGGAGATCATTTTTAATATCCTGTTACCTTTTGGGTTTGCAAAGTTAGTTTTCCTATGGTTGAGCGGAAAGAGAAGCTTCTTTCTGGCAGTGAGGATGAGCAAGCGGGACAGAGCACTGACCTGCTCTTACAGAGCCCCTGTGTGCTGCAGGAAATGTTTGCTTGTGTGCAGGAGGCTTCTTCTCAGTAGGAACTGCCTCTTCTGCCTGCCGAGCGACCAAAGGTCTTGCAGTAAGTCAGATTACTGAAAGGTGTCTAAGATGAACTATTCATTACTACAAATGCATTTTCTGTTTCTTAAATAATTTACAGGAATAAGGCTCATTTTAAAGGACTTTGCCCCGAGCCTTTTAGATTCTGCTAAATGTAACGCAGACCGTGCTTTGAAAAGACAGATTCTAGCCTGTTACCCTGTTGCTCGTTATAAATTTGTGTCAGATAACCTCTTACGAACAAAAGACGAGGGGTAGTGGAGGGACTGAGAGATCACCATTGACTACAGCACTATATGCGATATGAAAAGGGCACAGTAGCCCTTTTAGTGTACCCAGTAGTGTACAGCTGAACAGGCAGTGACACACTCAGGCCTGCAGAGGAGCACCAATAAGCTTTTTTTTTCTGTTGGTTCTTTTTTTCCTCCCTTAGCACAGGCCAGTGCTGTTGGGGAAACTGTATCAAAAGCATCAGAATGTAAAATAACACCTGAAACAAAACCAGAGTAAATTAGTTTTTATCAGGCCACGCTTTAAAGAGATTAATCGGCAGTTTTTTTTAAATCCTGTTTTGCTAAGCCAATTTATTTCTACTTGAAACATAAGTGTTTGAACAAGTGAGAAAGTGCAGCTGTCAGAAGATTAACCAGCTGAGAACCACTGTCAGCATTAATTCTGTTCTAATAGATGACTCTCTGAAGCTATTTAGCAGCCTCTAATCTAGACACAAAGCTATTGACCTATGATGGATAGTAGTAGATTCTGTTTGTAAGCTTTAACTCAGATTTGTCTACTTAATTTAAAGAGGTCGTATAACAGGATTAATCTGATCGGCAGACTTAAGATTTGAGTGATGAAACAAAAATGGCTTCAATATAGTTTGTCTAAGATAATAAAGCATCATTAAGCAAACAGAAAGTTGCAGTTCTCCTGTGTTTACCTTCAGTTTATTTGCGGTATGTAAAGCATAATAGGTTGAATACCAATCATAAAATGTGAATCAAAAAGCTAAGTTGTCTGCATGCGATTTTAATTGTCCATCCTACTGTATTAATATGCCCCTAACACAAAGGCGCTTCAGAAGTGGTAAGAGCTCACTGAGGGATACTGGTGCTTCTGACATGTGGACAATCTAAAAAACGTGCATTATTCATGTCAAATTAAATAAGGAATAAGAGAAACTGCGAGAGGTGATCTTCTGTGGGAAGTGAAAAGAGCCTAGATTCCCATGAGCTTGTGGATGTGTGCAGTACTGACAGTAGAGCTTGGCTTTGTTTTGTAGGTGTTGGAGCTGCGAGTTCGGGAAAACTCACTTTCATGGTCGGTGGAGCCGAAGAGGAGTTCAATGCAGCGAAAGAGCTGTTGACCTGCATGGGCGCCAATGTGGTTTACTGTGGCGCAGTGGGCACTGGGCAGGTAGGTGCCACAGCCTTCAGGGCTGCAGCTTAGAGCCTTGAACGTGCTTCTGATCGAGAAATTAATTTTTTATTAAAAAAAACCTTCCAGTCTCCATCTTCCTCTCTCTAACACTCTGCATGGCTTGTTTCTAGAAAGGCCTTTTTGGGCTTCAGGAACGTTTTCTGATATAGTGGGGTTTGAAATGCATAGCAAAGCCCACAGAGTCCGTGTAGAAATATGTACTTTTTTAATGTGGTGAGCACTTACCTGTTAGCCAAGCAGCCAGGGATTGTAGCATGAGACTTCGTGAACTGCTGGTGTGGTACCAGGGAGAGCACACAGCTCCTCTTTATCATTTCAGGCAGCCAAGATCTGTAACAATATGTTGCTGGCTATTGGTATGATCGGGACAGCTGAGACCATGAACCTTGGAATCAGGTGGGATCTTTAAATCTTACTTTTTCAAGCGGGATGACTATTTTATGTATTTATTATTGTGCATTAACAAAATCCACAATGATTTGTTTGTTTGGGGAAAAATGTGACTGTAAAATGATATTTTTTCTAAACTGAATATAAAATAGAAGTCATAAGGAAGTCAAATATTTTTTTGAGTTATACAATTTTTAGCCAAGACAATTAATCTTTTGGGATTAACGTTTTTAAGACTTTGGAAAGTATTTGTTTTCTTTTACTTGATTTACTTTTTTGTTTTTTCCCCTTCTGTGTTTTGATCACACAAAAAGCTCCAGATTTCAAATGTCCCAGGACACTATTCAGTTATTTTATGATATTACATAAATATCACTATTCAGTTATACTATTACAAACCTGTGCTTCTCAGATGTTACTTCATCCCTCACAAATTGGACTGTCAAATCCAATCCTTGCTACCTCAGACCCATCAGACCCCCCTCTGTAAGAAAAACTATCCTAGTGAACCAGTTGACTGTCATATAGTGTACGGTGCAGTTTTTTTACCATTGCTTATAGAAACCTCAGTATTTTCATTAATAAGTAAGAAATGTGGAACAAATGCCTGCCCTTGTTTCCTTTGCTCTAGGCCTGTGATAGGTCTGTACTGGAAGCACTATAGCAGAGGGTCATTTGTGTTTAACTACCATGAAGGAAATGGTTGTTGTGTTGCTTTAGCGTGTCTCAGATGTTAAGGCCACACTGACCTCTTAAGCTGTCAGGCTGTAATTGAGATAGAAGAGGAATTTGCTTGGCAGCTTTCCCAACTAGTTTATCGATATCATTTACATTTTTAAATTGAGCGCAGAATTGAACCAAATCAAAACCTTGGTATTATCTAAGCCATTAACATTGTAAATGTATAGATTATGTTCAAGGAGGCAAATCAGAGGTCTCTTAGTTACATAGGTCAAACCTCCCACCAATAAAGTATCTCTGTGGAGAAAGTAAATTATGAGCAATTTGATGTTTGGTCTGGAATTGCGTAACCTATTCTCAGATACATTTATCGAAAGATAGTTCTTTCTGAGTTTTGGACTGAAGCTGATCAAATCATTTGCAGCTGAAAATATATTCACCTTTTTTCCTTCTACTGAAAGGCTTTACTGTAAAATATTGCAGTAAATGCAGAAGTTTCTTTCATCCTGTTACATTTTAAAAATGGATCTTGAGGACATTAACAGCATAATAAAAAGGCTTGCTTCCCATTTTTGACTTCACAGCTGTCTAGTCTCCTATCTGCTTGTGTATCTTCACTCCAGAAAGAATACTTTTATGGATTGCTTGGCCTGGCTTCATTTATCTGTTCTTTGCTGTTGGTCATTCCTTCATATTCAGCTTCTTGTGGTCACTGGCTCTTGGTTGAATTTATTTAGTTCTTTTCCACTTACAGTTTTTTGGGAGGAAATTTTGCTTGACAGGTGAAATTTCCATTCTTAACTGTACAGTTGCTTGTCACATCTTTTGTCACAGGTTTCTAGACTCTTGGTTTGTATGGTCTTCCCAGAGGTTGCTGTGTAACCCCCTAACAACCACTTTTATCATCTTCCAATTGGGGCCCAATTTTGCACTTTTTTCTCACTAGTGAATGAGAAACCCTTTAGCAATAGATCTTGTGTATAAACTGACGCGTTCTTGTTTTTGAAAAAAGTGTTTTCCCCACTGCTGTTGGGTTCAGCCAGTTCACTCTCACAACATGCAGGCTCTAGCTGTTATGTTTAGTTATATTTAACCACTTGGAAAGTTAATGACAAGACCGAAGCTGAACTGTTTTTCCTATGGATGGTTTGAGATGTATGGGGGTTAGGTTTTGAGAAATCTGAAGCAGAATCCGTCGTTCACAAGACTCGCAACTCTTGTAAAACTCGTGTGGCGGCAGGGCACTGTTGACCTCAGTCCAGCCTGTGAAATTCTTGAAACCAATTCAGATTTCTATAATGCTAGTCTAAGATTGCCCATATAACAAACCAACATATTTTCCACACCATGGATGGTGTCAGTGAGGTGTGTATGCAAGCTCATGCAATAATCTGTTCAAGGTGAAACAGAAACATCACTCACTAAAATCATTTCATATTCCACACATTAGCCAAGGATGCCATTGCATCACAAGAATGTGATTTTCTTATAAATTATTGACTGAGCACAACACATTTAGAGGTGTTTTTAAAATCAAGTCTGTGTCATGTGTTGTCAGGCACATATTTCAGATTTTAGAATCTAATTGTATTCTTTAATTATTTTCTTAACACACAAAATTAACAGATTTCCTCAGATCTTAATGAATTGCCAGACATCCCTAATCACTTGCAGGACTAAAGCCCACAAGGGCTAGACTTGGTCTTGTAGTTATATGAATTAGACCACCTTTGTTGCTCATTTAGTCTCATTAAGACTAAATTAAAACAGTCTAAAGCTCCTGTTCTCTTTTCTAGCATGCATGATCTAGCAATTATTAATTGCTTGGGGATCAGAATTTACACCAGTTAGAGCCACATCTCAAAGGTTTTCAGCAAGGAAAGGCTGTACAAGTTTGGCAAATTCATTGCTGTGGCCAGCAGATACATCTTCAGGTTTTCTCTTTTATCTCCTCTCTTTCTTCTGTGCAGACCTGCCTGTGAGCCCCTGTCTTCTGAGTGCTGGCTGTCTTCCCAGAAAGTGTGTTGCTGGCTGTCAGGGGTATTTTTGACTTTTACCTGCCACAGCAATTTTATGGACCAGATGGGATTGTTTCTGTCAGTCAGACTCTGACATGAGATTTTAATTGTTTTCCCAAAGCATAGTTTATTGAAAAAAATCTGAGCCTAAATTGCTTCTTTTTGTCTTCAGTGTTTAATTAAATGCTTCTTGTGGAGTTACACATGATGCAAGTATGGACAGTGGTCAATCGCCCAGTGCAGGCCATGGGTTTTCAGTGTAACACAGATTTGCAAGTGTCTAAATTGTCATCAAACATTTGGTTTAAATAACATGTTTATTGAAGTTGTTTTTGGTCATATTAGTTGAAGTGATACGGTGCTGAGTGCAGAGTAAACACTGAAATGTGAACCAGAGAGCACCAGTAGAAACTATGTGGAAGTGCTTTTAAAACTGAGAACTGGAGGCACTTCTTTGTGCAAAGGGTGGTGGAAGTCTGCCGCAAGCAACCCAGCCTTGTTGCAGAAGCTGATATCCTGATATTCTTACAAGAAGCACCTGGATGAGATCTGGGATCAGTCAACTTCTAACTTCTTAAAAACGCAAGAATCCTGAATAACATTCCTATGTTATGGTGGGTAGCTGCGTCAGCATGCGTAGGCTGCAAAGGAACAAGTAAAAGGTTTATTCCATGCTGAAAAAAAGAAGAAAGAGAACACAACGTTTCGGCCGTGGAGCCTTCTTCAGGTGTGGTTCTTCAGCCTTCTTCAGGTGTTGTTCCTTTGATTCCTATGTTATTACGTCACTTCAGAGGATTTTCTTTACTTGCTCCTGAAAACCTTAAGCAGTAATAGCTGTCTTCTTCATCAGCACAGTAAAGATTTAAGGTCTTTGAGATCACTATTGGCTATTGAGCATTTTCATTGTTTTGAGAACAGGAGCTATTTATGAACTAGAATACAAGCTTTTAATTGGCTTCCCTGGTTTCCTGGATCTCTAACCACATTAGCTTTCAGGTTTTAGCAATGCAGCATTTCATACCGTAATTATGCACTCAGACTCAACAGAAGACAACCGTCATTATAGTTCACACAGGTCGTTTAAAATAACATTTGCTTGACCTTCATATGTAATCATTTCAAGGCCCCTTAACAGGTCATTTGGAAAGGGCTTCCCATACGGCACACCGTGTCTTGAATGTGCTGCTGTATATTGTCATACACTGCTTTACATCTTTGCTCTTGTAAGCATTATGAGGAATTTAAAAAGGCTAAAGTCTAATCTGCACCCTGCTTTTTTTCTCTGCTTGAGTTCCTAATCTTCTCCATTTCAGAGCTCTGCTACATTATAGAGTGTGGAAGGCACCTACTGATTTATTGGGCTTTATAAGTTTGGAAGAAAATTGGCATCAGCAAACATAAATTCCCCAGCAGTAAATTCTCAGTGAAATATGGTTGCATTAAGGAGTCTTGCTGAGATTCATATTTCACTATGTTTTCACTGCAACAGATTTTCACAGTGTTAAAGACAGGTGGATGAGAGGATACGTGTAGGTTTTCTTTTTTATTCTCCACATGTAAATATAGCTGCCTTAATAAACTGAGCAATTACAGCATATCAGATTGTAGATTAAGAATGTGATTAAGTATACAGTTCACAATTAAATTAGAAATGCCCTAGAACTTGGAACAAAAATTGTTTATGACCATAGAGCTGTGAAGTTTGCAGTTTATCTCTGTATGAAAATAAGGCTGTTGATTACAATATGGTGTGGATTCCTTTTCTGTGATGAACAGCAATACTCAGAATCCTTCAGTGGACTTTGTTGATGAGAGCAGCATCATTGTGTGTAATTGTGCTGCCTTTTTGTTTTTATTTAGTGATTCCTCTACAAATCCTAACTTGAGTGCTATTTCTTTAGTTCAGCTTTAGTTATTGTGTTGCGTTTCGTACAATTGCAGCTTGTTTCCTCCCATTGATCTGAAGCATGAGTTTCCAGTTATTTCCTCGTCAAGGTACTGTGTATTCAAGGTCCAGATTCTAGAGGAACGTTTTGTCACCACAAGTACATTGTCCAACAAACGTACCCCTTACATTCCCTTTGTTCTGTTTCAAAAAGATGCACCGGAATAAATTACATAAGAGACTTGGAAAAAGTATAAAATGTCAACTAGATATTAGAAATGTCAACTAGAACAGAATTATATTTTCCAAGTTTTTGTGTCCTTTTTTAAGTTAATATCAGACTTTGAAAGTAAATAATCCTAAAAATGTTTTTTTTTAGCTTTTGAAGTATTTCCTATAGTAAGTACGCACACAGTTTAATC